TCTCTCTCCTTCCCAGGGGGGGGCTCAGCCAATCGAAGGAAGGCTTTCTTTCTCTCATATGAAGCAGGAAATAGGAGAGACTGGGCAAAAGGAGCTGTGATGTAAGAAACAGGAAGCAGCACAGAGTCAGTTACTTTCGGGCCAGATAGGGGCTCAATATACTCAAACCTGAAAAATACCGAATATATTTTTTTTGCACACCCTCAGTTATATAAGCACTCGTACCAGTTGGTGGTGCTCTTGTACATCTGAGTGTTTGGGTTGGTTTTGGGTCTGTTCCGCATCCCTTTAAGTCAGTGGTTCTCAACCTGTGGGTCGCGACCCCTTTGGGGGCCGAACGACCCTTTCACAGGGGTCGCCTAAGACCATCGGAAAACACAAATTTTCGATGGTCTTATGATAGCAACGAAAATAATTTTATGGTTGGGGGGTCACCACAACACGAGGAACTGTATTAAAGGGTCGCGGCATTAGGAAGGTTGAGAACCACTGCTTTAAGTGCTCTGAACATTGATGTTTTAAACTGTAGAACAAAGTTCGAGTCCAGTGGCACCCTTTACACCAACAAAGTTTTATTTATTCTTCAAGCTTATACCCAGAATAAAACGTTCTGCTTCAGACCAACACGGCCATTCACCTGAATCAGTTTTAACTGTTGCACGATCTGTGCTGCAGACCACTTGGAAACCAACCTTTCATTCACGCTAGTTTCTTAAACAGGTGTTACAATACGCCAATGATCTTGCCTTGAACATTTTGTGTCGTTTATCCCTGAACTAAGGCAGATCAAGCACCTCCAGATCTAGTGAGGGATGGGAGGAAAACCGGAAATGATTGTTGGGGGGAGGGGGAGAGACTGGAGGCCTGAAGACCCAGATTTCTTACTTCTCCCTTTATCTTCAAACTGGTTGCGAGGGTTATTGGTGACAGTTAATGTGTTACTGTCCTTTTTTAGAAAAAACAGGCCAAGGAGAAAGAGCTCTCAGGGGAAAACAGGTACCATTTTGTTAGTTTTTGGTGACTGGGAACCTGTAGAAGCTTCTTATTGAACCAGGAAAGGGGCTCGTTGGTAAGAAATCTTAGGTGTTCTTCATTAATCTTCCTGGTGTCATAAACACCATTATGGCCTCTGAGGGGATTCTGAAAGCCTTAAGGGCTGAGCCACAGGCAGCCACTATCATATACAGCAAAGAAAGGATAAAGGGTCTCTCCAGAGAAGGAGGCTCCAGAGAACTCGTTGAGAAGGCCTGTTGTGTCGGCATCGTAAAAGGCCACAGCCCTCCCCTCGTAGTTCAGACAGATTCGAATACTGTCAGATTCCAACATCATGGTCAGGGGAGGGTCAGTGCCCTTTACGAAAACCTTGTACTGGCCCTTCCACCTCCCCACAGCCCAGATCCCCTCCTCAGGAGTCAAGGTGACCCTACCCTTCACAGGCTTTCTGGCCACCCCCACAGCCCAGCCTTCCCCGAATACATCGACTTCCCAAAAATGGCAGCCTGTTGTGAATCCCTCACGGCCCAACACAAAGCCGTAGCGTTTCTCAGGATCTTCAGAGAGGTCTTGAGTTTCACTTTGCCATTCTATGGTTTCCTGATTCAAACAGAGGACAGCATGGGAACTAGCTGAGGCTGGATCCACAGTTACCGTGGCTGTTGGGAAGAAATGGTGACAGAAGAGACACAGAATCAGCTGGGAGATCAATTCACCCCCAGAAGAAAAACTAAACACATCAACATATAAGCTCCAACAACAGGAAAGCCCACCCTGGAACAGTCCTGTTTTCAATGTCATAACTTTGGTTTCTTTCTTTATTCTGGCTCTGTACGTGAGTGTGGTACATAAGCAGATGCCCAGGGCAGGCCTAACAAGGAACGTCCCTCCCACCATGACACATAATCCTGTGCATTTCTGATGCCACGATATGTGTGGAGGCAGGCGGGTGCAGTGATTTTCAGCTGGCATGAAACGCCAGTGCTCATTTCACCAATAGGACCTAGGCAGAGAATGCATATTGAACACATTCTATAACTGCTCCATTGGTTACCGATTAGTTTCCGGGTTCAGTTCAAGGTACTGGCGGTCACCTCCAAAGCCCTTCCTGGCCCAAAACCCACATGCCTACAGGACTGCCTTTGGCTATGCTCAGCTGCTGCAACTTGAGACATCTGAACAAAACACTGTGGAGCTCCCACCGGGCAAATGGGTAATATCAACAGCTGCCCAAGTACAAGGGTGTAATATCAACAGCTGCCCAAGTACAAGGGTGTAATATCAACAGCTGCCCAAGTACAAGGGTGTAATATCAACAGCTGCCCAAGTACAAGGGTGTAATATCAACAGCTGCCCAAGTACTCTTTCCTATTTTCCTCCTCCTGGCAGACCCTGTACCCTCCTTCCCCCTTGCCTGCCTTCATTCTCGCCTTCTCAGCCATTCACCAGCCGACCTTTTAACTGCCTCCCATCTTCAGCTATGTTTATTATTTACTTCATTTGTAGCCCATCCTTCTCCACAGTGCTGACCAGAGTAGTTTACATTATTATGCTTGCCTCCTTTTTTTTATCTGTGCAACAACCCTGTAAGGTAGAGTAGACTGAAACTGAACCAGTGATCTTCCAGAGCAAGATGGTGATTTGAACCTGGGTCCTCCAGATCTTACTCGGAAGCTCTAACGTCTATACCACACTGGCTTTCATAGGGTGGCTGCTCTTGAATAGTAGCAATTAACAAAAACAATCCCACACCGCGTACGAATTAGTCAAATATAATAATAATTTACAAATTGTTCAAAACATAATATGTGTTCAAGATAAGGAGAGGAGTACCTAATTAGACACTAATCGGTTCTGCGTTTATTAAGCTGCGTTTAGCAACGTGAGAGTTTTCTATAGAGATACTGAATGTTGCATTCAGCAACGGGGAGAGTTCTCTATAGGAATAGTGAAGTATTCAGCAAGGCCAGAAACATCTTTTACAACAATAGATTCTTGAGGAAGAATCACTGAAATGGCATGGAAAACTGGCCAGCCATAGAATCATGTCATGGAAGACATATTAAGCTTTGCAGGATATACTTACAGATGTGTTAAATGAACAACATCATTATAAGAGACTTTTCATATATTGGGACATTTTTATTTCTTGTTTGGACAGGGTGGAAATGACTTTACAGACATTTTTATTTAGCTTGCATTGATTGCACAATTTTGTGAATTATGTTTTGAACAATTTGTAAATTATTGTATTTGACTAATTCATACATGGTGTGGGATTGTTTTTGTTATTAGTGTTATTCACCGTGATCCCATTTTGGTTGTGTCCTGAACAGCAGCAAGCAGCCATGCTTAGCTGAGTCATGCAAGTTGGGTGGTATCAAGTCACCCAGAGGTGGCTGCCAGGCCTTGGTTTACCAGCCTCCAGGTAGGACCTGGAGATCTTCCAGAATTAAAACTGAATTTCAAAGACAGAGATCTGAACCCCTGGAGAAAATGGCTGCTTTGGAGGGTGGACTCTGTGGCATTATACTAAGCTGAGGCCTCTCCACTCTCCAGACCCTGCCCTCCTCAGACTTCACCACAAAATCTCCAGGAATTTCCAAACCGGAAGTGTTGGCAACCCTAGCCCCTGCCCCCAACGAATCCTCTCTCAAAGGCCAAAACATCCCTGGATACAACTCTCTCCCTGCCTTTGTACTCACAGAAATCCAGCCTGGAATACTGAGGTTGCCTAGCAATGGCCACAAAGGGAACCTGTTGCTACAGGTGCTCCTTTTATCATTTTTGCGTTCTTTAATCCCCAATGTTTTGTTTGACAGATTTCACATTTTTCTGAAAACTTGGGTCCCTTTTATAGAAAGATCTGTCTTGCCCGTTCACAGCTCCAGTCAGCAGATTTAAGTATCCTCAGATTTGGCTAACTTTGCTATTAGTATATAGATTAATACTATTCTTGTGTTAGAACAGAAATAAAGAGTCACCCAATGAAACTAACTGACGTTATCTTAAAGTCAAACAAAAGGGATTACCTTTTCACACAAGGATTATTTTTTAAAAATTTACCGCCTCAAAATATATAGCTGCATTCACAGGTACAGCTGGCTTGAAAAGAGTGCTAGACAAATTCAGGAGGAACAGATGCCGTAGCTATTAATTATAACAGCTAAATGGAACCTCCATATTCAAAGGCAGTATACCTCTGAACAGCCTTACAAGCCAATCAAACCACTACAATGTATAGCCTACAAACCTATTTCACTAACCAGCATAACTTCAACATCTGAGTCCAGCCGCACCTTTAAGACCAACCAGGTTTAATTCTGGGCATAAATGAGAACTGACTTCTTTTTTCAATGTATCAGCAGAAGACGTGTGCACGCACACCAAAGCTTATATTAAACTTTATTGGTCTTCATTGGCCACTTGGTTGGTCACTGGAGTCACACTTTCTTTTACTGCTCCAGACCCATCACAGCTACCCACCTATATCTATCAAAATAACCTCAGTACAACTTTGTAATTTGTTGCCTAACAATGAAAATAAGAGGATGAAGAAACAAACTGGCGCAGAGGGAAATAATTACACAACCCCTACTCATTTCGCATGCAGCTTCGTCGGGGGGGGAATCCTTCAGTTTCTGTTTAGTTCTGTTCCCATTCATACGGAACTGAAAGGAGCGTATGGGAACGGAACTAAAAAGAATTTGAAAGAATCTTGTCAGGCAACTTTATCTGAGCTGAAGGTATCCAGGTAGCTGCAGACTCAGTTCCCTTCCTTACCAGGGGATGTCAGGTGCAGGCTTATCCTGGGAGACTGTACCTAAGCAGACCACAGAAACAGGAAGAGAAAACAGCCACAGTTGGGAAGTGGTTTCATTGGTCCTGCTGGAAACTGTTGCTGCTAAGAAGCCTCCCAAACTGAAGGGACGTGAGGATTTTTACCATGTTGTTTACGTTCTGCAATTGAAGTATCTCTTTAACACTAGTGCCGTGCCTTGCTGAGTGTTCTTGGGCCACCCAAATTCTCTAGAAAGAAGCCTTGCCTTGAGCAAGACAACAGCACCAGGTGCTGGGACTAAAATGAGTGGAGGGCTGTTGTTTCCATGCCCCGTTGGTGAGATTTCCACAAGCATCTTTGACTGGGCAAACACTGGAAGAGGTCACGAGAGAGAATAGACGAAGCCCTACCCAGGGGAATTGCAGGCAGGGACCGAGGGTTTCCTACAGAAGCCCACCCAACAGTGCCTGACCTGAAGGCCCATAGCACAGACATGGCCAGGCTCCAAGGGCTTCAGCAGAAGGTGGAGGAGAAACTCTATAGATCCAATCAGAGGGAAGGGAATTCTCCTTTGCTGTGGCACAGCCATGGGGAAAGGGCAGAGTCTGAAATATGTGGGCGGGTCTGGTCCCTGAGCCACTCTTTAAGAGCCTCTGTCCTAAGTAGCCTGGGATGGGTGACAGAGAGAGAAGTGGGAAGAGAGCCTGTTCCCAAAGGAGAAATTGTGTCCAAGAAACTCCTGAGTAAAGGGGACAGTCAAACTACCCCTCTGAACTGGAGTCTCCTCCAAAGCAGGGCCATGAGTGCATGACACTGCCCAGCCTGTTGCGCCCTCCACAGCTCAGTGTCCATTGATGGAAGCAGGATTGTGGACTAGATGGGCCTGGGACTGATCCAGGAGGGCTTATGATGTTCTCAGGTTAAAAGACTCACACTCAGAATCACTTACTATTTCCCCATTCCTCTTTCCCACTTTCCATAACTAACCCATTTATGATTCTCACGTTCATAGGATGGAACTCTTGAAAGTCAAGGAAACATGACTAGAAAACCTCCTGTCAGGTCCCTCTCCTTGTTGTTAATTTTGTTCTGTCTCAGGCTTCAAGATTTACCTCTTCGCTCTGGAAACGCCCAACGCAGAATGTCTGGAGAAGCAAAAGGAACAGAGAATAAACATCAAACCATTGTATTTATAAGAGTATCTTGCAACAAGAACAGCAATTCCCAAAAGTATCATGCAGGAACAAATCCGGGGGAGTGGGGATCCTCCTTCCATCTGTGCTTGCAAATACCTACATTTGTCTTATCCTAAAGTAATTTTTGACATTCCCAATTACAGGTTCTGTAGCATTTAGAAAGCAAAAGGCACATAATACCTGATCGGGAAAGCTAATGCTTAGCTTCAGCACAATTTTGTGCCAAGGCTTTGTAGTTCAAGTCTGAGTTTTTAAAATGCAGTCCAACGCTATTGAAGGCAAAGGATGTTTTGGAATTCACTGAACAGGGTGCGGATGCTACAAGGTGAAAATCCCGAATCCTGACAACATTCAAGCCACAGGAATTCGTCACACAAGCCAGAGTGAGGATTTGGACAGATCCATTTATCTACAGTCCTACAGCAAAAGTAGCACACAGGAGAAAGGACCCCATAAGCACATTCAGAAAACTAGTTCTACCACCAGCACCTTGATTTTGGTCCAGTAATTACGAACTTCCTCTATGGAAGTCCATAAAAATGCACAACCCACCCAAGATTAGCTTTTTCTCATTTACATGAGAGAAACCCTGCCCCTGGCTCATACACTGATCTTAACATAAAAGAAGGCAATGTTGGATCAGGCCAATGGCCCATCCAGTCCAACACTCCGTCACACAGTGGCCAAAAATACCAGGTGCCATCAGGAGGTCCAGCAGTGGGGCCATGGAACTCAAATGCCTGGATTAATGAATACCACCAACTGCGTAAGTGCAAAAAGTGGGCACTAGTTTACATTGTAACTTCTAAATTGCAATTAAAAAGCAGGGCAAATGCGTATTTGGTCATTTAAAACCTTTCGTCAGCCTCACTAAATCCAGTTCCCTCCTCTCCTTTTGAAGGTTTCTTCTTTCCCAGCCTCCCTCCTAAATACTGTGGCACCGACGGTATGGAGATTAAAAAATGAAGGAAACTTTTAAACAGTCTAGGAATTTTGTTTCTGAGCTAAGATGCCAAGAATACTCTTGAGAATATGAACTAGAATTGCCTTCTCAACTGGCATTCTTGAGTGACCCACAATCTGCCATTTGCATTTCTGACTGATGTAAATGTCCTCTATGAAATCCCTGCAACCATTCCACTCTGACCTCTGAATCGTAACATGGCCAGCTCCAGAAAGCGTTTATGACGTCTGTAGCGGACCGGACATGTCAGCTCAATTGGGAAAGCCTCTGGATTCTCAAATGTCTCCTTCTTCTCAAACCTAAAGAGAAACAGAGTTAATGGATCATTCACCCAAACCAGCCTTCCTCAGAATAGGAAAAGAACAAAATGGAAAAAATATGCAGAACCAAGGCAACGAGCGGCTAAAAGTGTAGCTAAGCCACAGGCAGGAGAAGAAATGCAGAAGGCACTTTGGGTAGGCCAGGCTGCCTCACTGCATGCATCAAACGAGGCATTATCAGGAATATGTTTTATTATTTCATTGTTTATGTCGTTTTTATGTTGCCCTTCCTTCCAAGTTAAGAGTCCCTGTGGCAGCAGTCAATCAAAAACATCACAACAAGTTTTAAAATGCAAAATGGCTAAAGAAAAGCTATAAACACGGGAAAGGAAGGAGGCTCCAGTGAGGGAAGGCCAAACAAGTTCTTCACAGGCAGGTGCAAGATCATAAGGGAGGGGGACAGATGGATGTACATGGGAAGGAGATTCAATAAGTTTGGTGCCACGACTGAGCAGGCCCTCCGGACATCCCCTGGTGTCTCCTCCTCACGTGACCCCCAGTGATGAAAGAAGGAACATCATGGGACACAATTGCCTGTGGCTTCACTTCAGTGGCTGCCGCTTGAGAACATGTGCAGAAACCCTGATCTGATGTTGTTGTGGTTTCCTTTTTGTTTTGAATTTCTCAGAACGTACGCATCTGTAAAGAAAAGTGCTTCCTTGCTTTGCTTAGTAAACTAAAATCTTTGGTTCAGGCTGCAGAGAGGCCTACAGGAATCTTCCCAGAGACAGAGATAGCAGAGCACAGTGGCCTTGCTAATTAAACTGAGGTGCTGGGGAGTACCAGCTGCCCTTGGTCCTCCCAATTAGCACATTCCAAGTAACTGAAGACATGGGCACCAGTGTTCCCTCTAAGCTGAGTTAGTGTGAGCTAGCTCACAGTTTTTTAGCCTCCAGCTCACACGTTTTTGTCTTATCTCAGGAAGGATGGCTCCAGAGCCAACTAAATTATGCAGCAGCCAAGTCGCTTGCTCACAACTTTAGTGCCAGTAGCTCACAAAGTAGAATTTTTGCTCACAAGACCACACAGCTTAGAGGGAACATTGATGGGCACCTGTGTGGGAAGGGGTGTGACCTATCTGCAGCACAGTTTCGTTTCTCTCTCTCTCCCTCTTGTGCATCCTTGGACGTCATGTGCCTAGCAACCAAAGAGAGTGACATCACATCTCGGGTATCTGATTGGTCCAAAGGCCTAGGGTCAATCAGAGACCTTTCCCATAAATCTAGTTAGTGTTTGCACTATGGCTTGGAGCTAGGAGTTGGTGACTACTTGGCACAGCAATATGTCAGTGGTCCTACAGCTCCAGACTTGGCATCCCACCTAATTGCTGCTTGGAAGGGCTAAAGCCCTGACCATCTCATCTTGCTGGAACTGACTGCCTTTGATAAACCTGAAATGGTAACTGGAACCCTGATTCTATGTATTAGCTATGCTGGAAAAGCTTAGGTTCATTTGTTTTATTTCCTTCACTGTCTAGTCTCGTTTTAAATATTTTTGCGCCTTAAATAAATAAGTATATTTTTATTCTGTTGTTGGTTTTGCCTTCACTGACCTCAAAGCCTTTATCCAGAGCCTTGACTGTTGACCACCTATCGGATATCTGTTTTGTGTCTGGAAACTCAGACTGCAGTCCCACTCTGCAGGGCTGACTTTTCTTGTTAATTCCCTGAGAAGCCGGGAGACTTGTCCTTTCGCTCCTGGGCTGTTGGGATAGATTCAGAAAGGACTGGTGGCACCCACCAAGACTAGGGTGAGAATTAGTCTCTCTCTGGTATTTTGTAGCTTTGTTTTGATGCACCCCCCAAAAGTCCTTACCTGGGGTTGGGACAGGGACTTTTATTTATTTATTCAATTTTTATCCCGCCCTCCCCACCGCAGGCAGACTTTTGACAGCATCTGATATTTTTATGGACTTCTTGGCCTCTTGGTCCCCAACCCTACCACTTTAATTGGCCCTGTTCAGTGAATTACTTGTGCAGTCCGAAAGCAGAGTGAAACCTAAGGACGTGGAAGTCGAGGGGCTGAGAAGAAGGCAACTCTGCTTAAAGCTGCCCTGTAACGGGCTGTTCTAAGTCAGCCAAGATTTCCCCTCTTGACTAACGTTCCCTCTAAGCTGGGGAGTCTTGTGAGCAAAAATTCTACTTTGTGAGCTACTGGCATTAAAGTTGTGAGCAAGCGATTTGGCTGCTGCATGAATTAGTTTGTTCTGGAGCCTTCTTTCCTGAGCTACGACAAAAATGTGTGAGTCAGAGGCTAAGGAACTGTGAACTAGCTCACACTAACTCAGCTTAGAGGGAACACTGCTCTTGACCCAATCTAGATGGGGGGAAGGATTTCACCTCTCATCCACCTTCCATTTGGTAGAGTGAACTTGAAGTGAGTGCCCAGAATGACACAATAAACACTCAGAATGTGTCTTAAGGCCAGTGAACATCTGACTAAAAACGTCTTTTCTACACATGTACAAATAACCTAGTAAAAATATTTAGGAGGTGAAACTACAGAGTACAAAAATCAAAAGAACAGGACAGTTTCCTGCTCCCTAAAATGTACAGGACTTTTGGTGTTTCTATCCTTGGAGACAGTTCTTTCCCTCAGAACAGCACAGATTCTCAAGGCTTGCTCCTTTCTGCCCCTATTCCAAAGGGTCCCTCAGAAGCTGTGAGGCCTCCGATCACTCAGAAAGTTGGGGGGAGGGGCTCATTCAAGCTTTCTATCGAAGTTTGACTTGACCAATAAACTCCTCCCCCAGAATAATCAGAGGAAGAGTCAGGAGTGACACGTGTTTGTCATGTAAGGCTTACATTCTGTGCCCGCCTTCAGTATAGTGGAGCCTAGACCAACGCAGGCACCCTGTCTGCCAACACCTTTCTTGGGGTCCACAAAATGTTTTAAGAAAGTGGGCAGGGCCAGGTGGGGCTGTTGCCCGGCAAAGCTTCTGATTGGCCACCTGAGACTGGAATGGCTGTGCAGGATTGAAAAAACGGGGCTTTGACTACGTGACTGAAGGGAACCTGCGGCAGCCATTTTGTGGCTGGCTCTGCCTCCTGGAGATTCCAGGCCCCGGGTGGGGGGATCCCCTAATTTTTGGGCTGCCCCCTTTAAATGGCTGAGGGAAAGGGGAAGCATGCGCACACGGTGTTGCATCCCTGACGTGATGACATCACTCTGCGTGATGTCATCATGTTGGGGATGGCCCCCCCCTCCCGGCATGCCCCCAAATCCCCCCGCCAGGGAGGAAATAGGACCCGGCAACCCTACTGCCTCCTGCGGCAGCATTCATTGGCAGCTACTTTTTGGCTGGGCCAGAATTCCAGAGGTGCCCACAGGCATGCATATCTATGCCTGGCCCCTCAGAGACCGCCTCCTCCTCCTGCAGCGCCTCTGCCACTATCTGTGGGTTGGGGTCAGGTCCACTGGCTGCCTCCTCCTCAGAGGAGTCTTCTCCCTGCAGACATCACACCATCAGCCATGCTCCCCCTGTCCAGACTCCACCCCGCCCCCAAGAGCTCATTCTGTTTGCCATGTTGACACGAGGCTTGGGACCGTATGTTATCCACAGGCTTCGATAACGGGAAGGGAAATGAATGGGATCCACTTACCTCTGCAAGGTGCTTCTGACATCCTGGAAGGAAGAAAGAGAAAGAAATTCAATGGCTGCCCCGGACCACACCAGCACATGGAAGTTTTCTCTCTGCAGTGGGCTCATAAGAACATAAGAGACGCCAATGTTGGATCAGGCCAAAGGCCCATCCAGTCCAACACTCTGTGTCACACAGTGGCCAGAAATACCAGTGCCATCAGGAGGTCCACCAGTGAGGCAGGTCATTAGAAGCCCTCCCACTGTTGACCCCCCCCCCCAAGCACCAAGGAGACAGAGCATCACTTGCCCCAGAGCCCCTATTTATACCTTGTGGCTAATAGCCACTGATGGACCTCTGCTCCATATGCTTATCTAATTCCCTTTCGAAGCCGTCCATGCTTGTAGCCGCCACCACTTCCTGTGGCAGTGAATTCCAAGTGTTAATCACTCTTTGGGTGAAGAAGTACTTCCTTTTATCCGTTCTAACCTGACCGCTCAGCAGTTTCATGGAGTGCCCACGAGTTCTTGTATTGTGAGAAAGGGAGAAAAGTACCTCTTTCTCTACCTGCTCTTTCCCATGCATAATCTTATGAACCTCAATCATGTCACCCCTCAGTCGTCGTTTCTCCAAGCTAAAGAGCCCTAAGCGCCTTAACCTTTCCTCATAGGAAAAGTGTTCCAACCCTTTTATCATTCGAGTTGCCCTTTTCTGCACTTTTTCCAAAGCTATAATATCCTTTTTATTTGGAACATTCACGCTTCCTCATCCTCCAAGTGTCCCCTTTTCAGCCTTTTTATGTGCTCACTACATTTCTTCTCAAACAATACAGTCCAATCATGTTATGTACACCATCTGGATGGGAAAGCACACATTTTCGAGGTTCCCCTCACATTAGTACCATTTTCCATCTGCCAGCCCATCAAGGCTGCTGTTTTCCCTGCTGTGGCACCAAGGAACTATTTTTCAGCTGCTATTTGCCATCCTGTTATACCTTTCATTTTTAGCAAAAGGTCTCTAGCCCTTTTCATTGCAGAGATATAAGGGGAACAGCTATGCAACAAAAAGCGCCAGCCACTTCTTTTAAGAAATGACAGCTGGGTAGTGAGAGGAACTAGCAGATTGTGGAAATAGACTGTTATGGGATTGTGCTACAGGGAGACAGCAGCTATCAAATGCAGAAGAGCCCTCCAGTGGCACAGGTGTGTAAGGAGATTACAGTGGGAATGTCAGCTGATGGAGGAAACTGCACACAGAACTCCCATGTGGAGACTCCATTGCCAGAGCAAATGACAGGCAGGGAAGCGGAGGATCTTTGCCAGGTAGGCGAAGGCTACAGAAATCTCTTCAGGGCTACCACACTTCACTCAAGGACTGGGGATATGTCTTTATAGAATGTGGCCCAGTTTTTATTAGAAAAGGTTTGCAAACCGTCTCCAGTTGAGGATGGCCTTGAACATCTTCTACTAGCGTCTTACCTGCAGGAGTTCATTCCCCGCCTGCTGATGCTTCTCCTCCATCTCCCGGATGAGGCTTTCGAGAGAGGAGAGTTCCTCAGAGAGTTTGGCCAGGTGTTCGTCCCTTTTCCTTGCAATGTCCTTCTCTGTCTCTTCGATCTGGGCCAGCAGATCTTTTTCGTGTTTATTCAGCAACTGGTGTAGTGTTCTGAACTCAGCCACTCTCGTTTGCCGCTCTGATTCTGTTCTTCTCTGGAGGAAGGGAGCACCAACCAATGTCAGTAATGTAATTTGTTCTCGGAGGAGCAAATCAGTTAGAAAGGACACTGGACTGGTCCCCGTTGGAGGTGGGGACTCTTCCCACCATCGCTCAGCTGGCTGATGGGGGGGGGGGGAAATGGCATGTTGACATCACTCCATGTGTGCCAAAGGTGAAGACAGAGGGAGAGGGCTGGCATTTGGGCAAAACTCTATGGTCTCCAAAGAATACTTGGATATACATTTCTAAATGAATGAATACACACATGCAAGCCTTCCGGAGGCCTGTTCCAGAGCCCAACATGGTATTCAGTTATCTGTAGTTTTTCCACAGGATCACTTCACCTGTGCAAAATGCAGCAAACACTGGTGTAAGTTGAATCCTACTTTCTCTCAGGTTTTCCTTTTTAAAAAAATATATTTTTATTTGTTTTTAAAGCATCATTAACAACAATGAACATCAAAAGCATTAAACAAGCAACAACAAGAGATAAGGATCAAGTTGCATCAAAGGCTTATTATGTAGCAGTAAAAACTATTGTAACATTTTTTGAACATTTATCAACCAATTAGAAAGGGTAAGAACTGCCCCTCTGCATTTTTTGTGTATATCATGGAAATCCCAAGGGGGGCATAGTTTTTTTTGCAAAGAAGTGAGGTGATAAATGCTTTAAAAGGCCCTGCTCCTCCATCTTCTGATCCAGACTGCAGCTTCTGTGGCTATCGTAAAACAAAAAAATCTGCAGGAAAAAAGGGATACAACATATGCAGTTTGGGCCTTAGAATGACTTTTGATGACTATTTTCTGTGACAGTAAGACACAGGGAGGGGAAAACAAACCTGACCCAAAAACTGGAATCAAGAACCAAAAGGGTGAGAAGAAAGTCTAACGAAGGGGCCAATATTAAAAACCTAGTTAAAACTTATAATATACAGAAATACACGTATTTATTAGAAAGACCGTTAAAAACATACATAAGGGCCCAATGAAAGCCTCGTTAAAAAGTATAGCCTAAACACAAGGGCCAATGCACATGACCAGATGCGTTTCTGCCCTATTGGGGCCTTCTTCAGAGGTCAAACAATATTAAGGTACACGTAACTTAAACACATATTGCAATAAGATAACCAATAAGTGAATATTGGACCAGGAAGAGGAAGGTTAAGCAGCAAGAACTAAAGACACATGACAAAGATGTTTAGATCTTGCTGTTTAACCTTCCTCTTTCTGGTCCACAAGTTTTAACTAGGTTTTTAATACTGGCCCTTCATTAGACTTTCTTGTCACCCCTTTTGCCAGTTTGGTGTAGTGGTTAAGTGTGCGGACTCTAATCTGGGAGAACCGGGTTTGATTCCCCACTCCTCCACTTGCACCTGCTGATGTGACCTTGGGTCAGTCACAAGCTCTGGCACAGCTGTCCTTGAAAAAAGAGCAGTTTCTGCCAGAGCTCTCTCAGCCCCACCCACCTCACAGGGTGTCTGTTGTGGGGAGGGGAAGGGAGAGGTGTTTGTAAGCCGCTCTGAGACTCCAAGTGAAGGGCGGGGTATAAATCCAATCTCTTCTTCTTCTTCTTTTGGTTCTTGATTCTTATTTTCGGTGACAGACCAGGCCATTCCCAATGACAGATATTCATTCTGAGGACTGGGACTACCTTGCAGTTTTGGACTCTTCCTGCATTTGGTATATTGTTTTCCCTGATATTAGTCCCAGTTCTGGTTGACTTCCAGCAACTGGGACACTTACCAGCAATTCTTGGCTTTCATCTTCAACGTCTTGTATATATTCCAGAATTTCCTCCCTCTCAGTCCTCAGAGTCTCCAGGCAATCGAAGATCTTATCCTGAAGAAAAATAATGAGAAAACCTTCTGGGTTAGTTCCTGTCTGTTTTTTGTTTGGTTGGTTTTTGAGGTTTGCTTTACATAAGCATCAAAAAACTATACTTTCAGGGTAAGACTTCATTGAAATGATGCACTTGGCTCCGTTTCCTGCCCGGCATGGTCTTTTCTCTCTCTGTGTGTGTGGAGGGGTCACTCAAGTCCCTGAGAGCCTCTGTATCAGGGGGTCCTGAACCTTTGGGTGCCTCTGAGAACCTTTGGAATTCTGACACGGGGAAATGAGCACAATCCCCAAATGCCTGATAGAGGAGACGGAGCCAAAGCCCAAAATGGCTGCCACAAGGGGCACAGCCAAACACA